TGTGCATGAATGAATTTAATCTATGTGCAAATTAGATCTATTTTCAATTCTCATAGGACCTGTATGAAAAGAGGGAGGTCTGACTTTGAGTGCTTTTATGCTGTTAGCAATTCCCATTATCTCTTCTATGAGAGCTGCCAGCTATGTTTTGATGTAAATTGCCCAGCTATGTAAAAGCAGGTGTGTTGTTTTTTTTTTTGGTTTGTTTTTTAATGGGCATCTACTATATAAAAGCCCCTCTCTACCAATCCCTCCACTGGCTTCCACTTGTTCAGCATACAGAATACTAACGACATACACAACCGTCCCAACTCTGTTGTCGGCTATGTCTCCCAGCTATGTCTCCCAGCTATGTCTCCCAGCTATGTCTCCCTGCTATGTCCACTCCTCCCAAGACCTCCTGCTCTCTGGAGTCCTCATCATCTCCTCCCATGCTCCCCTTCAGCACAATTCTAGAGACCCTCCCATCATCTGAACTCCCTATCCCCAATCCATTCATCCCCTACCCCATTTAATCGCATTCAGGCAGTCTTTGGAAATTCTCCTCTTTGGACTCGTTCACACACGTTTTGATTATGAAGAATGAAGCAATGCTCATTAAAGCACCTATAGCGCTTTCAATGTGTTTTTGATACAACTTGTGTTTTTCAAGTGTTGAAATAACATCAAGAAGTGCACAAGAAAGTGTTGTTTTTCTAGTAGGGGGGAAGTGATGGGGGGCAGATATTATCTGCTATGAGGCGTGGTTAGGTTGTGCTGTGATAGCTGGCATTTTTGTGAATTCTAGATGGATTCTCTTTGATCTATTTGACACTTGGCTTTGTCCAACTCAAGATGATCATCGGAAGAATGGCCCAGCAGAAAAATAGGGTGTTATGCTGATATTGGGCGCATCCCATAGTCTCAGAGAATTTTCAAGGTGTATTTCCATACTCTTTACAATGAGTTGCAAGTGTGTTCCCAGAAGTTTTTTCATCATACCTGTATGAAGGTGTCCATGTTTGATGCCCTTCTTGAGATTGTTAGACCCGGACTGATATGAGCCACAACTAATATATAAAGCATCCTTTTGCACCAGAAGAAGGTCTTCTTTTAAAGCCAGACATACATGGATCGAAATGTGCCCAGTTCAACAAGAAACTGGCTGAATTTTGGCCCATGTATGGGCACTGTGGCCGTACAAAGGTCTGTCTACGGGTCCAGTTTTGGTACAACTGCCCTGTCTGGTTTTCCCTGCTCAATCAGTGCTGCAGACTATAGCATGCAACGCTGATCACTTTATTCTGATGGCAGGGAGGTCTCTCCTCTGTCAGAATACAGTATCTCAGCATGGTGGGTTCCCCCATCCACCTTGAATGTGTGGATGGTGAAATCTGTTCATTTTTTATTTTTTTTTTAACCAATCTATGGGCTGCCTAACTTTGCGGTAAGTCATGTGTATGTATTCTCTTTATTGCCACTTCTGAAGACAATCACCTTTTCGAGCCCCCCTACCTTGTGATTGGCAGTGAGCAGATTCCAGAGCTGATATTTGTTTTAAATTCAGGTATTAAAACTGCCCACTGCCCACCTCTTCTTTGAGTACTGATACATTAAAGTGGATGTAGAGGCTCAGGCTTTTTATTTACTTTCATGCTTTCTATGCATTAAGGTAAAAAACCTTCTGTGTGCAGCATCCTCCCATCCCCCCCTAATACTTAGCTGAGCCCCATTGCTATCCAGCAATGTACACGAGAGTCTCGGCTCACCAAGGACTCTCTCTCCTCATTGGCTGAGACTGCACCCAGTGAGGAGTGAGGGGGTGCGAGACCAAGCCGAAGCTCTGTGTGTGAATGTATACGCAGAGCAGCGGCTCAGGAGTGAGCTTGCTTAGGTGCCCCCATAGCAAGCTGCTTGTTCAGGGTGCACTCTGGCAGGAGGGAGGGGCCAGGAGCGCCATTGGGGATCGATGGGATTGGGGCAATGTAAGTAAGAAAATATGGATTTTAGCATATTTACTTACTGCAAATCACAAAAACACAAGCTAGCTACCACTGTTGAGATTTTTTCTTAACCTTTTTTTTTTGTTTGTTTTTTTTTCTCTTTGTTCCATCAAAACATGCAATGGAAAAACAATGGTTGGCCGCACAAACAGCAATGTGGTGGATGAAATCCTTTATTGGAATCCTTTACATGCAATATGATAAGAACATGACAGCTCCAAGACAGGACAGAGGAGCAGTAGATGCGTTTCACACCAACACGTGCTTAGTCATTACTCAATGACTAATAACTAAGCACGTGTTCATGTGAAATGCGTCTACTGCTCCTCTGTCCTGTCTTGGAGCTGTCATGTTCTTATCATATTGCATGTAATGGATTCCAATAAAGGATTTCATCCACCACATTGCTGTTTGTGCGGTCAAACATTCTGTTTTTCCATTGCATCTGTGATCACGGATCGGGCCAGCATCTGCGTGTCTGTGGAGGGGTTATGCAGATTCAGCACTCACCTGGAATGGATCTTTTGCTCTTTCATTCTATCAACATGAAATGGAGAACCAGTTACCTACAATGTTATTCCCATGTCATGTTTAATTTCTCCACTTTGATTTCAAGCTCGACGATACAGAAAATCTAGATTCAAAGTGATAAATAGTTGTGAAGGGAACAAAAACATTCATTGCCAACCCGTATTGATCATGGCGATGGTTAATAATCTAATGATTAGAATATTGGTTAGGTTTGAATATAACGGCATTCTCCCTCAGTGGCACAGGTTTGGTTCATAGTTAGTTTGGCTGAAAAAAGACAAAAGTCCATCCAGTTCAACCATTAAAAAAAAAAAAGTTATAATCCTATATCCACAGTTGATCCAGAGGAAGGCAAAAAAACCCAGCAAAGCGGGATCTAATTTGCTCCTGCAGGAAAAAAATTCCTTCCTGATCCCCCGAGAGGCAATCGGATATTCCCTGGATCAACTTTACCTATAAATGTTATATCCAGTTATATTCTGTGTATCTAAGAAAGAATCCAGGACTTTTTTGAAGCAATCCACTGAGCTGGCCAGAACCAACTCTTGAGGGAGTCTATTCCACATTTTCACAGCTCTCACTGTGAACAAACCTTTCCGTGTTTGGAGATTACATTTCTTTTCCTCCAGATGTAAAGAGTGCCCCCTTGTCCTCTGTGATGACCTCAGGGTGAATAACTCCACACCGAGTTCACTATATGAACTACTGATGTATTTATACATGTTGATCATATCCCCCCTTATGTATTATACATGGAGATCATATCCCCCCTTATGTATTATACATGGTGATCATATCCCCCCTTATGTATTATACATGGAGATCATATCCCCCCTTATGTATTATACATGGAGATCATATCCCCCCTTATGTATTATACATGGAGATCATATCCCCCCTTATGTATTATACATGGAGATCATATCCCCCCTTATGTATTATACATGTTGATCATATCCCCCCTTATGTATTATACATATTGATCATATCCCCCCTTATGTATTATACATGGAGATCATATCCCCCCTTATGTATTATACATGGAGATCATATCCCCCCTTATGTATTATACATGGAGATCATATCCCCCCTTATGTATTATACATGGAGATCATATCCCCCCTTATGTATTATACATGGTGATCATATCCCCCCTTATGTATTATACATGGAGATCATATCCCCCTTATGTATTATACATGGTGATCATATCCCCCCTTATGTATTATACATGGAGATCATATCCCCCCTTATGTATTATACATGGAGATCATATCCCCCCTTATGTATTATACATGGAGATCATATCTCCCCTTATGTATTATACATGGAGATCATATCCCCCCTTATGTATTATACATGGAGATCATATCTCCCCTTATGTATTATACATGGAGATCATATCCCCCCTTATGTATTATACATGGAGATCATATCCCCCCTTATGTATTATACATGGAGATCATATCCCCCCTTATGTATTATACATGGAGATCATATCCCCCCTTATGTATTATACATGGAGATCATATCCCCCCTTATGTATTATACATGGAGATCATATCCCCCCTTATGTATTATACATGGAGATCATATCCCCCCTTATGTATTATACATGATGATCATATCCCCCCTTATGTATTATACATGATGATCATATCCCCCCTTATGTATTATACATGTTGATCATATCCCCCCTTATGTATTATACATGGTGATCATATCCCCCCTTCATCTCCTCTTCTCAAAAGAGAATAAATTCAGTTCCTCTAATCTTTCCTCATAGCTGAGCTCCTCCATGCCTCGTATCAGTTTGGTTTCCCTTCTCTGTATTTTCTCCAGTTCCCCAATGTTCTTTTTGTGAATTGCTGCCCAAAACTGAACTTTATATTCCAGATTTAGGTTCAGGTCAGGATTTTATCCTGTTAAAAAAACATGCGGTTTAGAAACGGTTCCCATGGAAGTCAATAGCCTGTAATCCGCACATGAACTGGAGTGCACTGCTCAGAAATTGGACAGCACTCCTTTTCAATCCGCACTGCCAGTGCACCAAACATATGTGAACAGGCACCATAAGAAGGAATGTTTCACATGTCATGTGGATTGGATGCGGTTCAAACCACATCCAATCTGCATATATGTGAACCGGCACTTAAAGGTTAAGGTCACTTTTTGTTTAAAAAAAATAAATAAATGCACATCTTTTTTGGCAGTAAAAAATTTAAATTTTTTTTTTTCTACACTGGAGCCTATAAAGCATTGCACCCGTGATCAGTAGATCACAGGTGCAATGCCAGGCTCCTGTAGACTCTCAGTACGCTGTCAGCCCCATACCTCCCTAAATACGTGTGGAAGGTGTAACATGTTCCAAGGGTGAACTTACCCTTAAAGTATGAATACTCTTGGTGAACAATTTCTGCTCTATAAAGATTACTAGGAGGACTGTGTTAGAATCTGTTTGATATATCCATATCTCTGTTTATCTAGGTCATTGAATGATTCTCAGGTGACAGCTCTGGGTATAAAGATGCTCCCTGGATATAAGGATCCTTATCATGGCCGTCCCCTGACACGAGGAGAGATGGGCTGTTTCCTCAGTCACTACAACATCTGGAAGGAGGTGAGGTGAATCTTTAAAAAAGGACCCTGGGATAGGCAAAAAAAATCACCCATTAGTACACCCCCTACACTAAATGGTTAGTAACATTTTGAAAATCGTTACCATTTAGGAGAAAAGTCTAACTGAATTTTCATGACCTCACCTCTGTAATTCAAAAGGTAACAGCATCTGCTCTGTCAAGGAGAAAGTATAATGTCAGGGATCGCATCATATCCTCTCCTCTCTCTTTGCAATGAAAGGAAACTACATTTCCCATCAACCACAGGGAATTGTGAATGTGAGCGGGTATACTAGGCCTGTACATGAATTACATTACTGCTTCTTGGAAAAAGAACTACAGAAGGCGTGTACCAAGACCAGTGGTTGGGGGAATAGGAGGCATAGCAGCCACTGGTCTTACAAACAGGAAATCTAAGTGAAATTACAGTTTGATTTGAAAATGAATAGGCTATTTCAGAACAACTACTGAATGAACCAGAAGATATGGATGACATATTCAGTGAAGGTAGGAAATCAGTAACAAGGATATGTAAAGACGTTTTTTACCCAGAGTTCTGCTTTAACTTTGCTATGCACTTTGAGGAGCTGGGAGACAGTATGCTGGATCTAGAGGTTGTAGCTCTGAATGAATTATCACAGGCTTCCTGTCAGTGTGTAACTGCTTGTAGGAGCAACCGGCTTACACACAGAGTCTGCAAGAGGCCTGCATATCACATACGATCTGCTGATCATGGGTGCAATGCTTTACAGGCTCCCAATAAAAAAACTAATAAATGCACTTTTTTTTTTACCTGAAAAAAGGTGCTTTATTTATTTATTTATTTTTTGAAAAGGTGAACTATCCTTTAAACTGCACAATTAAGTAATAATATAGTGAATCAGAATTTTTGTTTAAATTGGTTGTAAAACCTTACATGTATGCAGCAAAGTGACGGTCTCACATGATACACAGAGATTAAATAAATGCTCCCACATAAGTTGTACTTGATTATCTGCAACCATGTCTTCTCTACAGCTATTCAAAGTGCAGAAATGATACAGCTTGTCTGAGCTTTTCAGAAAGCGGTGTGGGGAAATGAAGCTACAGTGCATCCAGAAAGTATTCACAGTACTTAACTTTTACAGCCTTATTCCAAAATTGATTACATTCATTTTTTCCCTCAACATTCTACAACCAATACCCCATATTGACAATGTGAAAGAAGTTAGTTTTGAAATATTTGCAATTTATTAAAAATAGAAAAACGAAGAAAAAAAACCACATGTATATAAGTATTCACAGCCTTTGCCATGACACTCAAAATTGAGCTCTGGTGCATCCTGTTTCCACTGATCATCCTTGAGATGTTTCCACAACTTGATTGGAGTCCACCAGTGGGAAATTCAGTTGATTGGACATGATTAGGAAAGGCATAAACCTGTCTATATAAGGTCCTACAGTTAACAGTGCATGTCAGAGCACAAACCAAGCCATGAAGTCCAAGGAATTGTCCGAAAACCTCCGAGACAGGATTGTGTCAAGGCACAGATCTGGGGAAGGGTACAGAAAAATTTCTGCAGCATTTAAGGTCCCAATGAGCACAGTGGCCTCCATCATCCGTAAATGGAAGAAGTTTGGAACCACTGGGAATCTTCCTAGAGCGGGCTGCCCGGCCAAAATGAGCGATCGAGGGAGAAGGGCCTTAGCCAGGGAGGTAACCAAGCATCCGATGGTCATTCTGAAAGATCTACAGCATTTTTCTTTAGAGAGAGGAGAACCTTCCAGAAGAACAACCATCTCTGCAGCACTCCACCAATCAGGCCTGTATGGTAGAGTGGCCAGACGGAAGCCACTCTTCAGTAAAAAGCAAATGGCAGCCTGCTTGGAGTTTGCCAAAAGGCACCTGTGAGGGGCTTTCAGACCATGAGAAACAAAACTCTCTGGTCTGATGAAACAAAGATTGAACTCTGGCCTGAATGCCAAACGTCATTTCTGGAGGAAACCAGGCAACGCTCCCCACCTGGCCAATGCCATCCCTACAGTGAAGCATGGTGGTGGCAGCATCATGCTGTGGGGATGTTTTTCCAGGAACTGGGAGACTAGTCAGGATCGTAGGAAAAATGAATGCAGCAATGTACAGAGATATCCTTGATGAAAATCTGTTCCAGAGCAATAAAGGACAACAACCCTAAGCACACAGCTCACATAACAAAGGAATGGCTATGAGTCAACTCTGTGAATGTCCTGGAGTGGCCCAGCCAGAGCCTAGACTTGAACCCAAATCAACATCTCTGGAGAGATCTGAAAATGTCTGTGCACTGATGCTCCCCATCAAACCTGATGGAGCTTGAGAGGTACTGCAAAGAAGAATGGGAGAAATTGCCCAAAAATAGGTGTGCCAAGCTTGTAGCATCATACTCCAAACGACTTGAGGCTGTAATTGGTGCTAAAGGGGCTTCAACAAAGTATTGAGCAAAGGCTGGGAATACCTACGTACATGTGGTTTTTTTTTTTCGTTTTTTATTTTTAATAAATTGCAAAGATTTTAAGACGAACCTCTTTCACGTTGTCATTGTGGGGTATTGTTTGTAGAATGTTGAGGAAAAATATGAATTGAATCCATTTTGGAATAAGGCTGTAGCATAACAAAATGTGACAAAAGTTAAGCGCTGTGAATACTTTCTGGATGCACTGTATGTTCTGGAGACTCTGAGAGCTGATTGTAGGAAAGGGACACCCCCTTCCACGCAGCAAACAGGAACAGAGCTACATAGTTATATAGTTTGGTTGAAAAATGTCTATCTAGTTAAAAAAAATATATACAGTCCTATGTACACAATCCTATACCCACAGTTGATCCAGAGGAAGGCAACCCCCCCCAGAAAACCGTGATGCAATTTGCTCCTGCAGGGAAAACAAATCCTTCTTCATCCCCCAAGAGGCAATCAGATATTTCCTTGATCAACTTTTACCTCTAAATGTTAGTATCCAGTTATATTATGTGCATTTAGGAAACAATCCGGGTCTTTTTTAACCACCTCCCGTCCAGCCGTTGTATATAAACGGCCGTACGGTGGCAGTGCAGGGTTGGGTGGCCGTTTATAAATGGCCTCCCCGCCCCCTGCTTGTGCACGCTCCCTAGGAGTGCGCAGCACCGCGATCCGATGCCCGCTGTGTCCTCCGGACACAGTGGAACACTGATCGTCATACAGGACCTCTCTGCGAGGTCCCGATCATGTGATCACTGATTGGCCAGTTAGTGATCACATGCAGAGTAGTAAGCAAGATGTCACTTCTGACATCATTGCTTACTACGTGTGAAATTTGTGAATGATCACAGAGGTCACATGGTACAAAGCTATTCGCAACAGCCTTGTACCATGTGACAAGCTGTGACCAATCACAGCTCACACAGTAGTTCTCAATGGCTGCAAGAATGCAGCCAGAGAGAAGGAGAAATGATTGCTTTTACAGCCTTTATGGGTGTAAAAGCAATCTGTGTTTAAAAAAATCTTCATCACCCCCCACAAATAGAACAGTGTCACCATGGTGACACTGTACTGCTAGGGTGACAGTATGTTAAAAAAAACCCCATAAATAATAATATAAAAATATAAAAAAATTTGTAAAAATGACAATTTTTGGTTAAAAACTAATTTGCATTATTATTTTTTTTTTTTTTTTACTAAAAAGATAACAGAATAAATTTTGGCCAAGATTTATGATGAAATATTATTTATTTGCAAAATTTTATAAGAAAAACACTTTTTTCAAAATGTTTGGACTTTTTCATTTACATAGCAAAAAAAAATAAAAATCCCAGTGGTGAATAAATACCACCAAAATAAATCTTTATCTGTCTCAAAAAAATTCATATGGGTACAGTGTTGCATGACTGCGCAATTGTCATTCAAAGTGTGATAGCGCTGAAAGCTGAAAATTGGCCTGGACAGGAAGGGGGTAAAAGTGTCCGGACTTGAAGTGGTTAAAGCAATCTACTGAGCTGGCCAGAACCAACTCTCCAGAGAGTCTTTTCCACATTTTCACAGCTCTTGAAAAAACCTATCTGTATTTGGAGATTAAAGCTCTTTTCCTCCAGACGTAAAGAGTGCCCCCTTGTCCTGTGTGATGACCTCAGGGAGAATAACTCTACACCGAGTTCACTATATGAACCACTGATGTATTTATACATGTTGATCATATCCCCCCCCCCCTTATGTATTATACATGGAGATCATATCCCCCCTCGTGTATTATACATGGTGATCATATCCCCCCTTATGTATTATACATGGAGATCATATCCCCCTTATGTATTATACATGGAGATCATATCCCCCTTATGTATTATACATGGAGATCATATCCCCCCTTATGTATTATACATGGAGATCATATCCCCCCTTATGTATATACATGGTGATCATATCCCCCCTTATGTATTATACATGGTGATCATATCCCCCCTTATGTATTATACATGTTGATCATATCCCTCTTATGTATTATACATGGAGATCATATCCCCCCTTATGTATTATACATGGAGATCATATCCCCCCTTATGTATTATACATGGAGATCATATCCCCCCTTATGTATTATACATGGTGATCATATCCCCCCTTATGTATTATACATGGAGATCATATCCCCCTTATGTATTATACATGGTGATCATATCCCCCCTTATGTATTATACATGGTGATCATATCCCCCCTTATGTATTATACATGGAGATCATATCCCCCTTATGTATTATACATGGAGATCATATCCCCCTTATGTATTATACATGGTGATCATATCTCCCCTTATGTATTATACATGGTGATCATATCCCCCCTTATGTATTATACATGGTGATCATATCCCCCCCTTAATCTCCTCTTCTCAAGAGAGAATAAATTCAGTTCCTCTAATCTTTCCTCATAGCTGAGGTTGTCAATCACAGACCTTTTTATCTCCTGGTGTCAGGAAAACCTGTCAGAAGTGACTTCTGTCTGCTGGCTCGTTACTCTGTAACAAAAGTCACACTATAGGAGGGATATGCGTTGTTCATATTTCATGTCAGAGGTTTACAACTACCTTTTTAAAGTGTTACTAAAGGGTTTTTTTTCAATTAAAATAACAAACGTGTTATACTCACCTGTTCTGTTAAATGGTATTGCACAGAGCAGCACCGAACCCCCTCTTCTGTGGTCCCCCACCGGCAATCTTGGCTCCTCTTCTTCTCAGTGTGCCCCTATTGCAAGCCACTCGTTCCTGAGTTGTGTGTATCTATGGAGCCACGCTCCATAGACACACACAGCATGGCTTGGCCCTGTCCCCTGTTGCCTGCTGACTGCCTTTGATTGATAGCAGCAGGAGCCAATGGCTTCTGCTGCTGCCTGAGTCCGTGTGTTAAGAAGAAGAGATTGAAGAGAGGAGATGCAGCTGTGCACAGTGCTGGATCCATTGAGGTAAGTATTTAGGGAGGTGAGGGAGGACAGCGAGCTGCAAAATGTTTTTTGCATTAATGCAGAGGATGCATTAAGGTCAGAAAAAGTTTTGGCTTTAGAACCACTTTAACTACCTGCCGACCGCAGATAGCCGAATGACGGCTGCACTGTGGCCGGCCAGTTCTGAGTGGACGTCATATGACGTCCTCCCAGAACGCGCTCTCCTGCACGCCCCAGGGGGCGCGCACCCGGCGATCTCCAAGATCGCTGTGTCCTACGGACACAGCTGATCACGTGATGTGGTAAAAGGCCAATCACAGCGGGCTTTTACCACGTGATCAGCGGTGTCCAATGACACGCTGATCAGAGGGAAATGCAAGTGCCGGTTCTCTCGGCTGCACTTTCCTCACGCTGTCAGATCGTGAGGAAAGTACTGCCGAGAACCGGCAGTTGTCAGAGCGGGGATCGGCACCGATCATCAGGGCACTGATGATCAGTGCCCTGATGATCGGTGCCCAGCAGTGCCACCCGCAAGTTCCGCCCAGCAGTGCGCCCACTAGCTCCGCCCACCTGTGCCCAGCAGATCACCCACCTGTGCCCAGCAGTGCCCCCACCTGTGCCACTCTGCAGTGTCACCCACCTGTGCCCAGCAGTGCACCCACCTGTGCCACTCTGCAGTGCCACCCACCTGTGCCCAGAAGTGCCACCCACCTGTGCCCACCAGTGCCACCCACCTGTGCCCACCAGTGCCACCCACCAGTGCTACCCACCAGTGCCACCCACCAGTGCAGCCCAGCAGTGCTGCCAATCAGTGCCACCAGTCAGTGCCCAGGGGTTGTGCCAGTCAGTGCCGCCAGTCAGTGCCCAGCAGTGATGCCAGTCAGTGCCGTCTATCAGTACCCATCATCAGTGCCGCCTATCAGTGCCGCCTATCAGTGCCGCATATTAGTGCTGCATATCACTGCCGCCTATCCGTGACACCTCATTAGTGCTGTCTATCACTGCCGCCTATCCGTGCCACCTCATTAGTACTGCCTATCAGTGCCCTTCAGTGCTGCCTATCAGTGCCCATCAGTGCCGCCTATCAGTGCCCATCAGTGCTGCCTCATCAACGCACATCAGTGAAGGAGAAAAAATACCTGTTTGAAAATTTTTATAATAGAAACAAAGAAACTTTTTTTTTTTTTTCAAATTTTTTGCATTTTTTTTTTTTATAGCGCAAAAAGTAAAGCGCCCAGTGGCGATTAAATACCACCAAAAGAAAGCTCTATTTGTGAGAAAAAAATGATCAAAATTTCATATGGGTACAATGTTGCATGACCGCGCAATTGTCAATCAAAGTGCGGCAGCGCTGAAAGCTGAAAATTGGCCTGGTAAATAAGGGGGTATAAGTGCCTGGTAGGCAAGTGGTTAAGGGTCCATTCACACCAGCCAGCACTTTATAATGCAGTATCTGGTGTGCAGTTCAGCAGGAATCGCTGCTCTGTACTGCACCGCTCCCTTTTTTTAAAAACAAACTTTATTGAAATGTCACACAGAAGTTCAATTGGCCAGTGTGAGGTGCGAGGCGGTGCGCTGAAAAAAGTAGTGTATGTACTGCTCCTTTTTCAGCTCATAGTGCCTGCAACGCAGTAGTGTGAATAGGGCACATAGGAGACAAGGCATTTTGCCTTGTCATGTGGTGGGACTGCACTGGAATAACCACCCAGCGCAGTCCCACCGCATCTGGTATGAATGGAGCCTTGTGTAGAGATAGCCAAAACCTTTCAGTTTTGAATAGAATAGGTAAGGCTTTGAATCCCTGTTATATTTTTATCAAGATTTTCCAACTTGGTAGATTCACCCATTTTCTTTGTCCTGGTGACCATTGTGACCAAGAGAGAAGATTAAGGGAAATCCAAAATTGTACCAGAGAGGTAAGTGGAAATCCTCCAGTGGGGACACTTGTTCAGGTTACAACTATCTAAAAGGTTTCTCTCACACAGCCCAGAGCCAGCACTGACAGTTCCCCCCTTGCCCCCTGCATGGACAGGGGAGATAGAGAGATGTGATCTGCTCCTCACCCTCCCGCCCACACTCTTCGGCAGTGCTGTGCCTCCAGAGAAGGGAATGTGCAGGCGGGAAGTTTGAAGCCAATGGCAAGTGAGCTCACCATCCATCTACTGAGAGTAAAGTTTCCCCCCTCCCTCCCTTCTCTCTCTTGCTACCCTGTGAATACACTAATGTAGGGGAACTCAGATTTAAGGGGAGCTCTGTGGACTCTGATGTAAGGGGGTCTCTGCTTACCAAGGCCCCTTTTACATCAGAGTTCCCCTTTACACCAGAGTCCACAGCATTTCCCCTTACATCAGGCTTTCCCTTTAGATTCTGGAGTCCACAGAGATTCCCCCCTTACAGTGTAAGTGGAAATTCTGCGGACTCTGATGTAAGGGGGACTCTGCGGACTCTGATGTAAGCGGGGCTCTGCGGACTCTGATGTAAGCGGGGTTCTGCGGACTCTGATGTAAGGGGGGCTCTGTGGACTCTGATGTAAGGGGGGCTCTGTGGACTCTGATGTAAGGAAGGGCTCTTGTGATTAAATCCATATTATTAGAAATGTTATTAAATCACAAAATATATGTATAATGATTACTACACACAAAAATAATTTGCCGTGTGGTGCTAAAGTGTTCGGGTTTGGCTTGAAGAAAAAGTGGAAACCCTATCCAAGATGGCAGGAAGAGGGCCTGCTGCAGAACATGTGAAAGGGTCCTGGTGTTGAACCATAATGGAAGTTCAGAGATATTCCCCAGAAACATTTTAGGTCAGGTTCACTTTAAGGTTTTTGAGTCTTCGTGGAAGTGAGTGGAGTGTTATTGTAGTGTGTTTTGTGTATGGGTTGTTTTTGTTTTGTTTTTTTGGTGTTGTATTTTGTGTTTTAAATTAAAGTATATATATTTTTTTGCAAAAATGTCATTCCTTCTGAAAACTTGGCATCCTAATTCTCTCTGTAATGTCGCCCACTCTTCTAGATCTCTGAACGTTCACTCGCCATCTCTGCTGTATTCGAAGACGACCTGAGATTTGAAATCTTCTTTAAGAGGCGGCTGGAGAACCTGCTGCAGGACGTGGAGAAGGCACAGCTGGACTGGGACCTCATGTGAGAGATGTTTTGGGTGAAGAGCGAGGGGAGGGACAGAGAAAGTGATTTATATAATGAAAGCATTCGTTCTACTAGTGGAATTATGTCGCTCATAAAGCGAGAACAGCAGCTTGGTTACTGGGCTGTAAATATTTAGTTGCGTTGCAATATATAGTAAACATGGCCGTCCTGGAATGTGTACAGAAGTGAGAAGTTCTACTATCTTTTCCTTCTAGTAACACATCACAGTTCAATCACTTTAATCTGTATTCCTGATGAAAGGTCTTCCAGCCGTCATGAATTGAGGAATTCCACTTGGAATGCATGTCATTTTCCTACAGCTGCTTTCTGGCTCCCGTACTCTTGATTTATTTAGGCCAAACTCCAGCCAGGAATTCCCCTGCCAGGTTTTTATTATCTTCTGCCCTATTAGGTATGTTTTTCTTAACTTCTTGGTCACTAGGACAGGAAAGAAGGGGTAATATTACCAAATGGAAATGCAGGTATTGCTAAAAACTCAAACACCAATGTAGCCAAGAACTTGCGACGTGGTCCTTTGCAATAGCATTAGTGCCTTTGCAGCTGAAATGAGTACCTGTCATCTTTCTGCCTGCCTTATTCCTTACATTCCTGAAATTTCTCTGATTCAGCAGGGACCAGACAAATTTCGATCCATGTGTGGCCACTACAGTTGAACAGAATTTGAACTGATCAACACATGTTCAACGGAACCTATCGGATAAAAGCGGCTTGATCAGCATCTCCAGCCAACGGCTGCAATGCTAATCTGTGTTATCTGACAGCAGGGGAGTCTCCTCTCTGTCAGGATACAATAGTGCAGCAGGGAGGATTCCCCCTTCTACCTCAAATGTGTGGATTGGGGAACCAGTTCAGTTTTTTTTTTTTCTATTCAGCCCTATGGCTGAATGAAAAAAACCGAACCATGTATGAAAAGCTTTACACCACCTAATGTTTTGCACTGGTTTCATGGATCTGCTGCTGTGACAAAAACTGGCCTACACTAGTAGATATATTGAACGTTCATACAAAAATTCTCAGTATGTTCAATGGCTGTTCATTAGAGTGCACTGATCTAAGCCCCTTGTCTTTCTTGCAGCTATCTGGGAAGAAAACGGATGCAGGTAGAGGAACCTGAAGAGTCTGTTTCAGGGGTCCGCAACTTGGTAGTTGCTGATTACTCATACTGGACACTGGGATACTTGATCTCTCTTAGGGGGGCAAAAAAGCTGCTGAATGCTGAACCTCTGACCAAGATGCTTCCTGTGGATGAATTCTTGCCCATCATGTACGACAAGCATCCAGTGTGAGTGCAACAGTTTCACTTTGCAGTACACTTTTTTTTTGTTTTGCTACACCCTATGTTTAATTGATGGAATGCGTATATATTGCCGCAAAAGTTATTTTGTATTTGAATGTTCTTTAATTCTGGAATCCTTAACTTGGTTGCATACCTGGACCTCGTAGTAGTGGGTGCATGGGTAACTAGATGGATGGAGTCCTCCAACCACATGAAAGCACATACACTATATTACCAAAAGTATTGGGCCAGCCCTCCAAATCATTGGATTCAGGTGTTCCAATCACCTCCATGGCCACAGGTGTATAAAGTCATACACCTAGGCATGTAGACTTCTTCTACAAACATTTGTGAAAGAATGGGTCGCTCCCAGTTGCTCAGTGAATTCAAGCGTGGTAACGTGATAGGTTGCCATCTGTTCAATAAGTCCATCCGTGACATTTCCTTTCTACTAAATATTCCACGGCCAACTGTTAGTGGTGTTATAACAAAGTGGAAGTAACTGGGAACAACAGCAATTCAGCCACCAAGTGGTAGGCCATGTAAAATGACAGAGCGGTGTCAGCGCATGCTGAAGCGCACAGTGTGCAGAAGTCACCAACTGTCTGCAGAGTCAATAGCTAAAGGCCTCCAAACATTGTGTGGCCTTCAGATTAGCACAACAACAGTGCGTAGAGAGCTTCATGGAATGGGTTTCCATGGACGAGCAGCTGCATCCAAGCCTTACATCACAAAGTGCAATGCAAAGCGTTGGATGCAGTGGTGTAAAGCACGCCGCCACTGGACTCTAGAGCAGTGGAGACGTGTTCTCTGGAGTGATGAATCACGCTTCTCTGTCTGGCAATCCAATGGATGTGTCTGGGTTTGGCGGTTGCCAGGAGAACGGTACTTGGCTGACTGCATTGTGCCAAGTGTAAAGTTTGGTGGAAGGGGGATTATGGTGTGGGGTTGTTTTTCAGGGGTTGGGCTTGGCCCCTTAGTTCCAGTGAAGGGAACTCTTAAGGCGTCAGCATACCAAGACATTTTGGACAATTTCATGCTCCCAACTTTGTGGGAAAAGTTTGGGAATGGCCCCTTCCTGTTCCAACATGACTGCACACCAGTGCACAAAGCAAGGTCCATAAAGACATGGATGAGTGAGTTTGGGGTGGAGGAAACTCACTGGCCTGCAGACCTCAACTCAATAGAACACCATTGGGATGTTAGAACGTAGACTACCTGACCTCACAAATGTGCTTCTGGAAGAATGGTCAAACATTCTCATAGACACCCTCCTAAACCTTGTGGGCAGCCTTCCCTGAAGTGTTGAAGCTGTCATAGCTGCAAAGGGTGGGCATTATATTACTCTGGAGAAGGTATCAGTATTTTTTTTTACACATTGTGATTGTTTATAGCAATGACTGTCATTGCTCTACAAGCATTTTACTGAATGAAATCGATTCATTTAGTTTGTTTTATTGTAATTAGCTGTGATTGGACACCAACTATTCACATGACACAGATGAGCTGTGATTGGCCCTGTCTGTACCATGTGTGATCATAGGGAATACAATGGATGGCATGAAAGGAAGCCATCCATTGCTTACAATGGTCATGTGATCTGCTGTGATTGGTCACAGTGGTCACATGGTACCAGCAACGGGACGGTACACTGATCAGTCATCGGCTGTGTCCGATGGACACAGCTGGTGTCAGATCTCGCCACAGCACGGCACCTGGGGTGATCCTGGAGGATGCCATATGACGTCCACCTGGATCGATGAATGTCCCAGCCGGGTGTCCGATTACTATAGGTCAGGTGGGAAAGGGTTAAAATAAATCCCTGGTCGAGTAGATACCAGAGTTAAGCAGCCCATAGATTTTGCAATTGCTTGATTCCCCTGTCAACACAGTCAGTGTTGATAGGGGAATTCTGTTCCGTCAGCGAGGGCGAGGAGCAACACAATTACTGGTAGCGGCTATAGCGGCCAGTAGTGATGGCATGAAAAAAAATCCAACAGGCTGGTTGTACTGAAGTCATTGATGTATCGAATTCAGTACAACTAGCCTGCCCATACATGAATCAGATCTTGGTTGGTCCCTGCTGAACCAGCCGAGACTCAATCCATCTACGGCCAGTTTTAGACTTGGTACTCTCACTAACAGGCGTGTGGTCAGACACCCTCTTTCTGTTTCTCTGCATTATACAGTGGGGACACTTTTGCTGGGGGGTGTAGCTGTTACTCAGCTCTGCTAGCACAGAACACTGCAGTGTGAGGGCAGAAAGGAGAGCAAAAATTGGTCAACAAATCTTTTAAGTGGTTGTAAAGGCTATTTCCTTCTCTTCACGTGACTATAAAGAGATCAAACAGAATGAGATTTCAGTAGGGCTTTAATTGGTTTTCTTCATCCATTTCTCTGCATACAGCTCGGATTACTCCTCTCATTTCTCTCCGCGGGACCTGCGTGCCTTCTCTGTGGAGCCTCTGCTGCTATACCCAACCCACTACACCGGAGACGAAGGCTACATCAGTGACACGGAGACTTCTGTGCTGTGGGACAACGTGACTCAGAGCACTGACTGGGACAGAGCCAAGTCCCGCAAGACCCAACAACAGGAGAAGCTGCGCAGTGAAGCCATCAACACCCCATCTCTCCGCTCCCCGTTTGACAGCGCCGCCCGAGACGAGCTATGACCTCAGTGCCACAATCCCATCCAGCGTCTGAGCTTTGTGTGCAGACGATCTGTTGATCTGATTAGGAACGGTGAGGCTGCGGGACCTTTTGTGACAGACCAAAGAACGCGCACCTATGCGCACCTGTATGACCGACTACTCCTCTGCTGATTTCACATGGAACGGCCCAGCTGGGAGCAGAGCTGTCTCTGGGGGGAGACATGGTCTTTTCTTTATGAGGTCGGGGTTAATACTAATTATATTATAATTATTTATGTAATTGCCAGAGCGAACAGTCCCCATTTGCTGCACCTTTTGTGGATGCAGAAAAAAGCAGCTGAGCTGTTTTAGGATTTAAATGGCAATGGCCTTAAAATAAAGCTTCCTGATTAGGGACATGATGGGTGGAGTGAAATCACGGAGGTCAACATAAAAAATAGGTTGGTCTGGGTCAGGTCTGCACAGCCACAGTCCTCAATGGCAGTATTCAATCTCAGATTTAGCAACAGACAACAGAAAACACTAACGTGCCTCATTCATTGTTTCCTGATGAGGACAGCCTGAAAAGTGGTCTCAGCCTTGGAGGACCCTGGTTGTGCTCCCCTGTCTTCTTGCACATTTGGCTGTTTTTTATTTAGCCATCAATTATTGCTGTGAGGAAGCTAATGTACATTTAACAGTGGAGTTCCTAAACCATTACTGACACTACTTGTTAATCAGGTGCAGCCTAACAATGGTTGTTTCTGGGTGCTACATTACTGCTTCCTAACAAACTGACAACATGGCTGTCCTTAATGGTTTATGCACAATGGTGACAGACACATAGTAAAGTGTATCAAAACCCAAGAATAAAAATGTAATGTATTCCAGCTTGCCAGTCTTTCGATGTGGTGGCTGCATTAGTTTTTCTTTTTTAACACTTAATCATTTTCAGCAAGCACAGAACATTATTGTGGATTCTAAAATAATACCAGTAGCATCCTGTGAATTGAATCAAAAAATGTTGTCTCACATTCAAGCTATTTTATGTGAACTACAGATCACCAATCCATGTAATGGAGAGGGGAGTGTTGTGTAGTTCTGCCCAGTGGCGTCCCGAGGCAGGTGCGGGGGGGTGCGGTCCACACCGGGTGACACTGACCGCACAGGGTGACACCGGACCCGCTCCACAAAACGGTAAGTTGTAAAGCAAGCTGACGATCCCTGCAGGATGGATCCGATCCATCCTGCGGGGATCGTCGGCTTTCTTTACAACTTACCTTTTCTTGGAGCGGGTCCCTTGTCACCCCGTATAGGTTGCATGCTGACGATCCTCGTCGGCATGCAACCTATACGGGGTGACACCGGACCCACTCCAAGAAAAGGTAAGTTGTAAAGAAAGTCAATGATCCTCGCAGAATGCATTGGATCTGCGGATTGAGCATAATGGATCGGAGTCCGATCCATTATGCTCAATCTGCAGATCTGATCCATTCTGCGGTGATTGTTGGAGGGGGTGTCACCAAGTGTTACCGCACCGGGTAATACCTACCCTAGGGATGCCTCTGGTTCTGCCCCAGGGTGACACTGCTCCATAGATGCAGTACAGTTAGTGATTGTCCAGTTTTAGTAAATCAGCCCAATGAGGTTTATTTACTAAAGCTGGAGAGTGCAAAATCAGGTGCACGTCTGCTTAGAAACCAATCAGCTTCCAGGTTTTATTGCCAAAGCCTAATTGAACAAGCTGAGGTTATGAGGTTAGAATCTGATTGGCTACCATGCACAGCTGCACCAGATTCTGGTTGAACCAGCTTTAGTAAATCCCCCCACTGTGTTTTTAAAAAAAAAAAAAAAACAAGAAGATATTTCTCTCAGCTACCAGTAGCATTCAAATCACACATGCGTGAGGAAAGTACACTTCGAAATGGACGTACAGGCATGATCTCTAGTTCCAATAAATAACAAATCGGAATTAAGTAACCTGAATGAAATTTCTGGTTTCAGCACAATTGCAGTGCGTTCTGGTTAGCTTTTGTAAAACTGATTGTTTAAGGTTCTCTAAACTCGCAGTTTGTGACAAATTCCTTGTGTTGGGAAATTCACTTATTTATTAGTGATTTGCATGCCTTTCCCCCCAGATACTCCCGAAACGTTTGCCTCCTCATTGGAAACAGGTAAAATGCGCTGCAGAACTGCAGGCAAACGGCTTGTACATAGTTGATCTACATACTGTATATGTTCATTTTTTATGTGGCTAAAGGTTTGAGATTGTGTTCAGCCACTCTATTTTCTAAATTTAATAAATTAAATTTGAATATATTTTCTGATCAGACGTTCAAATCTTTTGAAATAGATGAACAGTTTTTAAGTTACAAAATAAAAGTAAAGATCAGAAAGTAGAGAAAGTGACGTGGACGTGGAGTCCTGACAGTTAATTGTCCCAAAACTTAAGGTGGGAATACACGATTAGAAAATCGACCAATTGGTCATCCGACGTCCGATAGGCGTTCGTTCATTGGTAGAAATCGTGGCTCACATTAATCAATCTAAAAAAATCGTTCGGGCAATACGTATTGTTGATGTGGAAGTGATGCGGTGTGCGTGTGACCTTGTAGCCACGCCCTTCCGGCCAGAATGAGCGATATACACAACAATTACCAGCAATGAGTATAATATCGTTTATTACATGACCTATATACATAAATAGTGATACATAAAATATAATCTGCAGAATTCTGGTGTCATTATCTCATTAGGCCAATCTACTTTTAACATTTGGATTTTTTGTTCGTGTTTACGAAGATTCCTTGGACATAAACATTCGGGTCATCTTCTGTTTCCGCTCATGCGTGATAGCGCTTGATAGATATTTTTCGTATGAGCGTCATACCACCGCATAGAAAATCGGTCGTTCATATGCGAAACGACAACATTTTTCACTGTTGTTCAACCGGATTTTTTTCGTTCACAATATTATCAGTTAAAACATCCTGCTAATCAAAGAAGAGAAAATCGTTTGATCAGTGGTTCTGAATAATTTTTCATACGATTTTCTTATCGTGTGTATGGGGCATTAGTCTCTTCATAGGAATGTGGGATTTTAATACAGTTGCCTTGAAAGACCTCCCTAAAAATATTGTCAACACCCAGAATTCCCGTAAGCTGCACCTCAACAATCACAAGAGTCCTTCATTTCTCTTATTTTGGAACATCTAATCGGGTGGACTGAGAGTGCTGTAGAGTATTAGGAGACTACGGTTTCTCTACAGACTGCATAATTGGTCTTCCAAGGACATTGTTCTAATAACCTCCTTTTGTAAACAAGACATTCTAGCACATTAGCATATAAGCACCTAATATTGTCCTTTACACCCCGGTCATATTAAGGCAACTTTGAAATCGTGGGACTTCCAGTGAAGTTGCATGATTTCAAAGTCGGGAGACATGCCAATTTCAGATGTCTATGCAAAACGCACCAAAAGTAGTGCATGTACTACTTTAGAAATCAGTGCGGCTCTGACCAAGTCAGATGAAAAGTGAAAGCTTGTGAGCTGCTATGCGAGGGATGAATACTACCGAGTGCTAATTGTGAATCGCCTACACCTAACACATACTCATACTAGAGTGCCAAACCAATACTAAATACCAAAACTGTGCTTCACTTAAAATTACTCAAAATAAATCCGAGTTCTACTAGTAATAATTCATATCAAAATAATAAAATAAAATTATAATAAATGAATCAACCAATATGAATTTCCAAATACATGTAAAAAAAAAAAAAGTCCATATATAAACTTCTTCAAACGTGCATAGTTCACTTTAGAATAAAATATCTTGTGCTTCTTAATTGATTTTTTTAATTAATTGAATCATTCTCCCTGATGAAGCCACGTGACTGGTGGCGTAACGTGTAGGGGAGGGGTCTTTGACATCACAACGCTCGGGGGTTCCATACTGACACCAGCTGGCAATTTTAGGATTTTCACCACTGAAAAAAATCTGCAGGACACATTTTGTGCACAAAGCGGTTTATATACAGAGTATATGCGAGTGCATTACTTTTATTAATATAACGGTTTTAAAAGGATAAAACGCTATGATTTGATTATTCCTCTATATTAACCACCGTGGAAGAAGAGTCAATCGAGTAAGTGGAGGAGGACCCCAAACAGCAAGATTCCATCCCATCCATACTTTGGCTCATTTAAAGAGACACAAGCATTATATGACCTTACATAGGTGTCCTTTTATGACACAGAGAATAGCTGCGATTCAACGGATCTCAGCTATTCTCTGGTCATTCACAGTTTATGACACTCAGGAGATCATGTCAGCCCTTCACTGGAGATCTGTGTTCTCCCTCCAGATTCTCCAGCCCAGAGCTGGAGAATCGGAGGGACCGCAAACTAAGCAGAGATAATTTACCTCTGCTTAGTAAACTGATCTTTTACTGTAATCTCGCGAGATTATAGTAAAATCAGCCGTTTTCCAGAGTTTGTAGACCGTTCTCCCTTCGTTCGGAGAACTGCTTCATAAACTGCATTCACGGGAGAACTGTGTTCTCCGAGAATGCCGGAGAATTGACCAGCGATCTATTACCGCTGGCTCATAAATGGACACCTTAATGGTTTGGTCATACACTTGAGGTGAGAGCACAACTGGCGGGGGAGCACACTAATGCAAGTTTTTTCACACAAAAAATCAATTAAGAAGCATGGGATATGTTATTCTAAAGTGAACTTTGCACGTTTGAAGAAGTTTTAATATATGGACTTTTTTTTTTACCTTTTTTTTCTGACCAAGTCGGAACCGCACCGATATGACCGCTGTAATTGCAGACAATAGGGTGTGACTTGGCATACAATTTGGAAGTCGCATTGCATGCAAATCGCATGCCAAGTCGCACCCAGTGCCACCGGGGGGTTTTTATCATTAATAAATCATATAATTTTCTCATCAGTCACTTACATGGATTTCAGCTGTGTATTTAGCTCCTTGTCTGAAGTTCTGCAGACCAAACACAAAGTGGATTATTGAGG